ATTGAAAAAAATATAATTTAATAATTTATCTTAAATAAAATAAATAATAGAGATCAAATCTAACAAATAAAAAATTGAAAGATAAAGAAATTAAAATAATAATAATAACTATTTCATAAATTATTTCAAATAAAATAAGTAACAATAAAAAGAATGAGAACCAAATTTGATAAATAATTAAAAAATAATAATAAAAAAGAAAATAACAATTATAAAAATTAGGACCAAAGTTTAAGGAGGACCAAAATTTAATATAAAAATTAAATTCTAAGAGATGAAATTGAAAAATTTAGAAATGTCATATTATTTACTGAATATATCAAATTTGGTCCTCAAAACTTTTGATTGCTATATATATTTTTTTTAAAATATTTTTTTTATATCAAATACAAGTTTTTTATATCAAAATTCTAAAATTAACAAAAAAAAACATTTACAAAAATTCCATAAAATAGTAGTGATTTAGGTCCCGTTTATTTATTGGAAAGTAGTTTCCTTTTAGAAAATGAATTCTGAGAAAGTGAATTATTTTCTGATATTTGGTAGTGTAATGAAAAATAAGTTGGAAAATACTTTTTAGTACTTGGTTATGTCATGGAAAATGAGTCAGAAAATAACTTATTAATGTTTTATTTTTTTCAAGTTTATTAAAATAATAAGGAATAAATCTTACAAATTAAAAAGTTAAATGAGAATGAAATTAAAAAATATATAATTTAATAATTTATCTTAAATAAAATAAATAATAGAGATCAAATCTAACAAATAAAAAATTGAAAGATAAAGAAATTAAAATAATAATAATAACTATTTCATAAATTATTTCAAATAAAATAAGTAACAATAAAAAGAATGAGAACCAAATTTGATAAATAAAAAATTTTAATTAAAAAATAATAATGAAAAAGAAAATAACAATTATAAAAATGAGGACCAAAGTTTAATATAAAAATTAAATTCTAAGAGATGAAATTGAAAAAAAAATATTTAAAACAAAATATATGTAGCAATCAAAAATTTTAAGGACTAAATTTGATATATTCAGTAAATAATATGATATTTTTAAATTTTTCACAGCTTATAAAATGTGTTTTCTATCTAAATTTTTCAGAAAAATATTTTCCTATTAACTAAACTAATTTTTTTTTATTGAAAAATATTTTTTGTTGATCAATTTTTCTAATGACAAATAAACACATGAAAGTTTGAAAAAGTAATTTTCATGAAGCTACTTTTCATCGAATAAACACTTATAATGACAAATAAACACATGAAAGTTTAAAAAAATAGTTTTCAGGAAACTACTTTTCGTCGAATAAACACCCCTTAAAAATAAAAAACTTTCTTACAAACTGACCCTAATATAAGCAAAAATTACCAAGAGCTTATAATTACTTGTTAATAAGAATACAAGATAAAATAAAAAATATTTATTTTATATAAAAAAATTAAAATTTTAAAAACACAATTTCAAGTTCCAAACTGCAATCTTATCGCAGGCAACAGCAAATGAGATCGTCTGTTCATTGTTCGTCATTTCGACGTGGCTGTTGGGGCAAAATGAAGGCAAACCAATAATAATAAATTAAAGTGAATTTTCTATAG